AAGTTGCAGACGGGTGCAATCAGAGTGGGGCACCGCTTCCATGGTGAAAGGGGCACACAGAGGCACACCTCATGGTGGGGTCTTGTCGCCCCTCCTATGGAATCTGGTGGTCGACGACCTAATAAAGAGATTCGAGAGGAGAGCCCCAAAAATAACAGCTTATGCGGACGACATAAGCATAATTATTACAGGAGTATGCCCATCGAGCCTCAGCTCAATAATGCAATCAACACTCAGGGAGATATGTGAGTGGGCGGGAGATGTAAGACTCAGTATCAACGCGGACAAGACGGACCTCATCCTCTTCACCAAGAGGTACAAGGTGCCGGCATGGATCCCCCCGAAAATCGACAGAACCAGGCCTACCCCAAAAACTCAAGTCAAATACCTCGTTATAGTACTGGACAGTAAGCTGACATGGAGACGCAATGTATTGGAAAGGGTGAAGAAGGCCACCATTGCGCTATATGCATCCAAGAAGATGCTTAGCAGCACATGGGGCCTATCACCTGCACTAATGCACTGGGTCTACATTTCGGTAGTGCAACCGACTCTGCTATATGGAGTCTTAGTGTGGTGGCAGGCTACAGAAAAGAAAACCTACAACAAGCTAATAGATAGAACTCAGCGGCAGGCACTGCTCTGCATCACTGGGGCGCTGAGGTCAACCCCAACAAAAGCACTCGAAACAATACTCGGAATTGACCCCCTGGACATCTACGCTCAACTGACTCCAGGTAAGGCAGCACAACGCATCAGTCGCATCAGGCAATATGTCGCTGCAAGGATTCGGGCACAGTTCAATAGGCCGAGACATGATCAGTATATCTGACTACATGTTCCCCCGAACTTGCCTGGACGTCAAAACAGCGATACACATGGGACCCGACGACTGGAAAGAAAGTTGGAATGAACACCTAAAAATTTACACGGATGGCTCCAAGATGGAGGGAGGAGTAGGTGCGAGCATATACTGTACAGACCCTGAAATAAGGCAGTCCTCTAAGCTACCGGACCAATGCAGCATATTCCAGGCAGAAGTCTTTGCCATACGGAAAGCGGCGGAGGTTGCTCGATGTACGGAACGCCGACATAATGTGGTCAACCTGTTCGTGGACAGCCAGGCGGCGATAAGATCCATGCAGTCGTCAGCGGTCATTTCCAAAAATGTCCTGGCCAGCAGGGAGGCATTAGATTTCCTAAGCACGACAAAGTCAGTGCGGATATATTGGGTTCCCAGCCACCAGGGCATCGAAGGCAACGAGACAGCAGACGTGCTAGCTAAGGAAGGCGTCAGGCTATCGAACGACAGGACTGAGAACGTGCCTGTCTCTTCAGAACGCTTCAAAGCGATCTAGAGAGGCGGGATCACATACAGGCCAGTAGCAGGTGGAGGAGAACAACCAACTGCGGGATCGCGAAAACCATGTGCAAGGAGAGCAATGGTAAACTCAGCCACTACCTACTGCACCTACCACGGAAGGACTGTAGGATGCATGGGTATACTCACAGGTCATTGCCTGGCTGCAGCCCATGCAGTCAAACTAGGCATCACCAACAGTGGCAAGTGCAGGAAATGTGATGAATCTGGGGCTATCGAAACCCTGGAACATCTAATCTGCCAATGCCCGGACCTCTGAAGGGCAGCCCGGTACTGGCATAGCTGGAAGATGCTTCCAAGAGGACACCAGCGGAACTCATTGCCTTTGCGAAATTTTTCTCGATCCTCACGGATTTCGAAACCGCGTAAAACACTCAAAAGGTCCATACGCACCGATCCTGACAACTAAGGGCCATATTGGCCTATGCGTGGCCCCATGAGGGCCGTCCGGGATAATCTAACCTAGCCTAAACTATGGAATCGACGGTTGATGGGCTCGATTCCTTCATGGTTCAATAAAATTCTAACCACTGAGTTATCGTTCCATCGGGAGATGAACAATTCATTCTTCTTTTCGAATATATGTATAATCCGACGAACCACGCTCTCTCTTTTTCCACAAATGAAGCGTATTTGATACAGCTTTTTCGAATGGAGCCTGAGTATAAGTAATTTATTTGAGATAGTCGAGACATCAATCTATGAGACGTAAAAAATGTTGAAACTAATTCTCCAGCTCGCTTAACAGCTTCATAACTTTTTCTTCCAAACCATTATCAATGTATCCTGGATCCGGGACAACATTGGCACCGCTATACGAAATAAATGAATAGGGGTAGCCTTCAGCCCAAATCCAAAACGAATTGGCTTTCTTTTTATAAACACATTGCAGCAGTAGGAAATAATTTGTTCGTCAATGTATGAATTGTGGCTAAAAAGTGTGAGCTTCATGTGTAGAAATCCGATCATGAAATAGAGTCGCAGTTTCGTAAATTAATTCTTCTAGCTACATTTTTGTTGAAACAGGGAAAAATTAAACTTTAAATGTTTAAAGCTGTCCCACACAATAATATCACTACCCGTGATTTCGCCGCTTTGAACCATACCATATTTTTTTGATATATTTGGAGCTTTAACCATGCTAAGTGACCTTTTTTTTCTATAGCAGAACTTTCTTTTAAAGAATTTTTTAAATCTGGTTTTTTTTTTAAAGCCGATTTTAGAGGTAGCACTCATTTTTGTCACATATCTTCCATTTGGTTGTAATATACTTTGCCATTCTGAAAAGCTTAGAAATTAAGCTATAAATAAAACCCAAACTTTCTGATTTCAGCTTACCCTTTAGGAAATATTAAGCTTTAAAATGCAAAAATTATTTTTGTTCAATATTTTTCCAAATTTTTTCAAAAATTTTGACTTTAAAAACTTAAACTTAACGTCGAAAAAAATATATCTTGTATCGTTATATTTTTTGTGTATAGGTGCAATAATTAAGCGTCGTTTAAGATATTTTTCATACAAATTTATGGATAAACGGCTGAGCTAAAATTATTTGATACGTTTAATTCTCCGAGGAAGAACGTTTTGGGTCTCTGCAGTAGCTGCGACCATACTTTTATACCCGCACTCAGTCATTATATTCATACATTCATTAAGCTTATGATTTATGTGAAATTTTAATTGCTTACGTTTTTGTGCTATGTAGTACATCTGTCCTCTTATACCTCCTCAAGATGGCGCACACTGCACGAAGCAGAATGTGTGAGCGAAAGAGAGAATGAGTAAGCACTGCAGACGCTTAGCAACTGGGTAAACGTGGGTTAGCAGCTGAAAACTAATTTCTTTATTCTATAATAATGATCCTATTATATACATATTCGGCAATCTCAACAACGCAGAGATGGTGACGGTCTCGAAGATTGCTATAAATGTTTGCAATATTCTGAGTGTTCACCTTGCAAGTTTTATAGCTACTATTCGGTGGATTATGTTTTATATAGTGTATCCCACTGTCCGGCCCCTGACACCCCAATCCGATCTAAAAGAGAGTCGTCTTCCAACAGACGAATTGGATTACAGCGCAGGGTTCGTCTAACGGCCACAACGACCCCACCTTCTCTGCAGCGCTTCGTTTTGGACCAGTCTCTGTCTTTACGAAACACCTGGAAAAGGTTGGGATCGATCGATCATTGTCGAAGAAGTTTGTGTGAGCCAAGTTTCAACCAAGATTAATTTGCTTTTATGATGTTGTCTTGTGCCGGCAAGAGCAACGCCATCCGATCGAGCAGCAGCCGAGCGAATGTCGCACAAAGCGCAGCTTTAAAAAAACATATGTTGCTCTTGCGTCGACGAGGAATGCCAAATATGATCCAACGGGCTGTTGCTCATAGCAAAGAGACGAAAAGGCGCATGTAGAATGTGTTGTTGAGAAGCGGTGTTCTTAACTCAGTGGCGCCGCTCACTGGGGGTTTTTTGAAGCAATCGACTTCAACTGCTTAGGATTGACGTAAAAGGTAGCCTGAAAGTCCGACTTGAGATCCTGATAAAGGCTTTTAAGTTTCAGAACCTGGTCGTTAATCGCGTGTTTTTTAGAATACGAATGCAACCACACAGTAAACACACTGCCCAAACAAGTTGGGAAGATTTATCAAAAGTTTAACAGCATCTGAATGCAGATCAATCCACGTCAAATAAAACGTACAGCGGCATATAGATGAACTCCGAACAGCATCAAAGCAACGAAGCTGAGCGGCAGTCACGTCCGAATTGCATTCTGAGCATGATGAAGCGTTACAGCAAAAACACGACTGCACGCAGTGAGAGCTGAATCTTCACTGAGCTATCATAAGTTTCTAATTGGTGCTTAAATTGATTGCCTATTACCGTGGAGCAAGAAAAATATAAGCAAACCTATTTTTTTTCAATCTTCTTGGAATTATTTTACTTTGCTGCAAGGATGTAATGACAAATTTTACTTAAGCGGGCCATCCACGATAGAATTTGTTCTGAAAACATGTTGGGTTCGAATCGTTGGTGGTAGTGTTCGGGTCGTAATTTCGAGTTCGATGTTGTGTTCGAAGAGAATAGAAATTATTCTATCTTCGTTGTGTTCGTGCCAACATGTTCGTCAATGGATGGCAATTTTGGCACGAACATCATTTGTAAACATTTTTGCTTGAGTGAACACCTTCATTTAAAATGTCAAAACAATTTTTGCAAGAATTAATAGATTTTTATAAATTAGATTTAGATTTATTAGATTTATTATAAATTTATTTATTTATATTGCCATTATGGCAATTACTGTGTCGGTGTCCGCTGACATGTTGACTCGTTGACAAATGTAAACAAAATGATGTTTGCGAGAAATGTTCGCACTCGTTGGTGGGCAAATGAAATTCATAATAGACAACATGTTTTCCAACAAATTCTATCGTGGATGGCCCGCTTTAGTCTATTTATTAAATGACGGAAAAATTTTAAGGCACTGGTTTCGATCTCTGTTAAAGACTGTACGTTTATTGACAGCGCAGCAGTATATCATTTTCTTATTCTCACGAGATGGGACCGTGCTGAACACTGCTTTAATAAAATATGGTAGATTCAAATCTTAACTCACATGCCGGTTTCCGTCCACAAGATATCCTCCAACATGGTAGTGCTTTTGCTGTATATTTGGTGAAAGAAGTTGGCTGTAAAATATAAAAAAAAAAACAATTCAAATATCTGCACATAATTCAATTTATAACTAAAAGTCAAACTGAGACCAAAATGCAGACTTCCCAAAGCAGTTGTGTGATTTGATTATTTGTATGCCCGCACTCAAAGAGTATATTAGTAAATACGATTCGAGCAGACATTTAACAGACAGTAGGAAGCGCTGCCGGCCCCTAAAAGTCCTGTGTCCTATTACACTGAAACAAGTTTATTTCAAAATTTAGCCGAAACCCCAGAATCATAAAACATGATAAGCCACAATCTTCTAGGGGTGGCCCTGCTCTAGACTAAATATGGTGGATCTAGAGAGGTCATACTCAAAACCCCCGTAAGGGGCTATCATGGGATGAAATAACGGCACAAAGATCGACCTCTACCCTTCGACGCAAGTTTAATCGTTGCCACTGGCGACACCTATGGAGACATAGTACCCGGAGCTAGCTAGCATGACCATTAGAGAATGATGGAGTATAGGTCATATATGTAGCACAGCCCTAGGCTGTCGTTCTATCAAAATCCAAAGAAGCCCAGCAAATGAGCTTATCTGGCCCGTCGTATCCTGAGTCTTTACTATCGACGGATCAGCTTTTCACTATCCAGAGATCCATTCTGGATGAGATTGTGGCCAAAAGGTCTAAACCCTTTTATGGCTTAAGTTTCGGGCCCGGTAGTAGGGCCTAAGGTAAAGGTCCTAACATGCAGAAGATGGGGGATGCTCTACTAGATGATCCATTAAGATTTTGTGCATAAAATTTAGAAATCTGCGTGGCTTCACTCATAACATATGTAAGTCCAATAATATGCATTCGAATTAAATTGAGTTGAGTGATTTGAATTTATATGAATGTTAGTGAGTGTTGAGTTATATAGCATTCGGCATTCAGTTATATGACTAAGACTGAAGGTGTGAGCGAAACGAAATGAAAGATTAGAATATTTGTCTATTTTTAAACCCGGTACTCTGAGTATATTACGCTGCAATCCGCCTAAGCTTTTTCGTCCCGAATTATTTGCTAGTGTCCCTAGTGGTAGGGGCCCTTCTTTTGCCATTCAACAGCTTTATATAGGATTTGAGCTGGTCGTGCCTGGCCTTGCCTTCCAAGTCGTCGATCATGAACTACTTATTGGCCGATGCCGGCTGGTTTTCCTCCACTGTTGGCCTTGAGCCTTGCTCACCCAAAAACTCATAATCTTCAATGTTGAGTTTATGTCTTTACAATTCGTATTCAAGATTGAGAAACGGAGACACAGAGTTGTTATATCCGTACTCCAAGAATTAACGGATATATTCGATTTGTGGTCAAAGTGGTCGCCTTCTGTGCGACGTTTCCGTCGTTTCCGGTCCCATAAAGTATATATTCCTGATCAGCATCAGAAGCCGGTCGATAAAGCCATGAATGTCTGTCCGTCCGTCTTCTTTAACGCCTAGTTCTAAGAGACTATAAGAGCTTGAGAGTTTCCAGTATGCATTAAGACAGATTCACAAAAGGTTTCCGCCTCTTCAAATTTGCTTCCCCCTCGTTCAGCAAAATAACTTAGTAAGTTTCTAGGCTTTGAGCGTTGGTACAACAGCACCGCTCACAGATCTGAGCAAGAAGGCTTAGTCTTTTAAACGGACTGAAGATAAACAGGCTTGTTGGTGAGGCAAAAAATCTATTAACCTCAGCACCGTTATTAGTCACACCCAATTTCAAGAAACCATTTATAATTCAATGCGATGCATCTAATATCAACGTCGGTGGAGTCCTGGCCCAGTTGGATGAAGACGGCATAGAAAGGCCAAACGCATATTTATACCCGTACTCAAAAAAGAGTTAAGGGGTATATTAGATTTGTGGTAAAAGTGGATGTGTGTAACGCAGAGAAGGAAACGTTTCCGACCCCATAAAGTATATATATTCTTGATCAGCATCAATAGCCGAGTCGATAGAGCCATGTCTGTCTGTCCGTCTGTCCGTCTTGTTTGACGCCTGGATCTCAGAGACTATAAAAGCTAGAGGAACCAAATTTTTTTTCCAGACTCATGTGATATCACACTGCTACAAGTGTATTTCAAAATTTCGCCCCGCCCCCACAAAGGACGAAAATCTGTGGCACCCACAATTTTAAAGATACGCTAATTAACGTTATATCGTAGAGAATGCCCATATCTACCAGACTGCCGAATCTGAATAAGATCGGATCATAAATTTAGCCAGAATGAAGAAATTAATTTTCAGTTGCTTCCCCTGCCCACCCTCCAGCAAACGACAACGCAACTCATTTTCCTTCTCGCTCGCACACTCTGCCGCGTTCAGTGCGCGAGCAACCCCTAGCGGAGGAGATGTAGAATCAAAATGGAACATGTACATTGTACAATCTACATGTTAGATGTAGAATATACATTGTAGATGTAGATGTAGATATCAGATGTAGCAAAAAAATGAATTATGTAAATTTTTTTTTTTTTTCTAAAATTCTAAAAAATCATAAGCTGTATATACTGACTGAGTACGGGTATAAGTAGAGTCGCGTCCCCAGAAGCGACTCACACGTTCCTTCTCGTTTTTTATAAGCTTTATGAAGTTTAACAAAAAAAATGTGTAACTAATTATAGTTTTTAGCTGAAGTATTGAGTATAGAGAAACTTAGAGAATATGTAGAGGAGCTTGAGTACAAAGTTAAAACAGACCATGCTAGTTTAAAATGGTTAATGAGGAAAGACCTAATGGCAGAATAGCTGGAATAGCTAGCTAAAACTACAGCGTTTTAATATTGAAATCTATATATATGAAACAAACTCGTTCGTTAGACCGCTTATAACTCGAGAACGGCTGGACCGACTTTCATGGTTCTTCATTTTTATACCCGTACTCGAAGAGCTATTTGTGGTAAAAGTGGATGTGTGCAACCCAGAGAAGGAAACGTTTCCAACCCCATAAAGTATATATATTCAAGATCAGCATCAATAGCCGAGTCGATATAGCCATGTCTGCCTGTCCGTCTGTCTGTCTGTATGTCTGTCCGTCCGTCTGTCCGTCTTGTTTGACGGCTAGTTCTCAGAGACTATAAGAGCTAGAGTAACCAAATTTTGTTTCCAGACACATGTGATATCACACTGCTACAAGTGTATTTAATAATTTTGCCAGGCCCCCTTCTGTCCACAATTTTGACGATACGAGAAAACAAGATAAGCAGTATCGTAGAGAATGACCATATCTACCAGAATCTGGATCAGATCGGATCATTATTATAGCCAGAATGAAGAAATTAATTTTCAGTTGCTTCCCACACCTCCTCCGGAGCTGCTGACGCTACTTATTCCCTTTCTCGATTGCACACACTCTGCCCTGTGCAGTGCGCGACATTTGCGGAGAAGATGAATAATCTATATTGTGTATGTATAATCTACACTATAGATGTGTAATATACATTTTAGACGTAGTTGTAGATAACGGATGTAGCAAAAAAATGTAAATTCTACATAAATAATAATAAGCTGTAACGAACCATGGTTCTAGCCATGGCTCGTCACAAACGGCGGAGGGTCAGCGCATCCACGCTGGCGGGAGACAATAATCTAACTGATATACACAGAGATAACGAACCATGGCTTTAGCCACGGTTCTCCACAAATAGCGGTGTGTCAGCAACTCCGGGAAATAAAATAGTCTTAAGCAACGCTCACAATTAATTAAGAACTCTCGACCAACAACTCTACACATTCTTGTCCACACAATAATTTAAAACACCCCACCTTTTGGGACATTTCGCAATCGACGGCCTACATAGGAAATATCATTGGCGTTATTTCACAATAAGTCAAGCTAGCATAAAATTATCGACCTACCGACCCAAATTCAGATATCACCTTTCCCAACTGCAGCCCGCACCTTCCGGGATGCAGCCTCAGCAAAACCACCCTGACCCACTAACAATAGTCAACGAAGCACCAAGCTTCGACCCACTTACCACGCTCCACAATTATTGTTATCCAATAACCTTAAGTCAGCAAGAATTAACTACTTCCGGGTCTCAGGTGCGATCGCCAGCTGCATAAAAGGGCCAAGATCGGCCGAAAGAGCAGGCAGTCCATCAGCCCAAACACAAGACACTGCACAAGGCAGTCCCTCAGTCACACACCCAAGACACTGTACTACGCAGTCCCTCAGTCACACACCCAAGACACTGCACTAGGCAGTACCTCAGTGAGACACCCAAGACACTGCACTACGCAGTCCACCAGCGCACCATTCAACTACGAGTCAAAGTAGCAGAATTTAAGTGAATGAAGAAAAACAGAATACTAAATAAAACCCAAGAAAAATCCAACAAGCAAAACCGTCGCCTCATCATTTCTCGCTGCCTACTACATTCTTTTGCAAGCCAGCCCGACACCTGAAGTCACCTACAAACTACAAATTTTCTTGTAGCGGACCCTGGACAGACTGATGCATACCTCAGCCTGAAATAGGACCATCACAAAGCTAACAAATTTACATATACTGACTGAGTACGGGTAAAAAAAATAGAGTCGCGTTCACAGAAGCGACTCATAACGTTCCTTCTCGTTTGAGTTTTTCTCCGTCCTGAATAGAAAAATAACTATCAAAAACATTGGAAAAAGCGCAAGATCACGCTCGGAAAACGTTACTATTGTTGTATAAAGTAGGCCTTTCCAGGCCTGTCAAACGTTTGCTTGATTTTTTTTTTTTGATATTAAATTACTTTCAACCGTGATTAGTTGAAAGATTTATTTGGCCTCCACGTCTGACACGGGTTAACGCCACCTCCTTGCTTGATTTTTTGTATGGAAAGTTTCACATAAATCAAAAAATAAATTCCAAGCGAGACTGCTTGTCTTTTTCTCAGCAGTATAGTGTTTTTTTTTTTCGAGAGCAACTTAACCTGAACAAAAAGTGATAGAGACACGAGTTAAAGTCAAAGTGTGGTTTTGTGACAAAAAAGATTTCAACAATAATAATAATTCAATAAT